TCTCCAAATTTTTGAAGTCCAAAATGTTAAACCTTTTCTGAACTGACCTATTGCCCTGAAAAATCATTTCCTTCTCTCACACCCAACCAAAACTGATTCTTTTTTTCAAAACTAAAGCAACCTTATCTAAAAAAGAATCATTCTCTCCAAATATGCAAGAAGTGAACCCAACTTTGTCACCTTCCAAAATCTTAACTCCATCTAAATCGAAATCCAAGAAGCCTTTGGTAGATTTTGATGAGTCTTTAACTGAAAAAGAATGAGGTAGATCTAATATTCTAGAGAGTGAGGCTGAAATTGTTGCTGAGTTTGTAGAAGCCTTGAAGGATGGATGAATCGGTGAATGTGCTGGAAAAAGGGGAACTGAATGATAGACCTGGTCCCTCAAATCCTTCTTAGGATGTTAATTCTGATGATGATCTTTTTCTCTTGGGTTCTATGCTTAAATGAACCTCCAATTCAGTAAAAATGATTGATGAAAAATAGGCTGATTAATGGTAAAGTGGTGTGATCTGCTGATGTGGTGATTGTGGAAGAGATTATGAAGTGGAAAAATCTTCACTTATGAGAAAGAATTTAAAAAAAAATGAAGAAAAGAAAGTTGGCTAAGAAATATGCAGCAAATGATAAGGGTGAATAGATTGAGAAGAAGAAGTGGGAGCAAGGCCGCTCAAGGAAAGAAAGGGTAGTGTGAGTGAGGAACCTAGTTCCTTACAAAAGCAAAAGGTTGAGTTATCGGGTTTGGAGAGGTAGAAGACTCTGAAGTCTCAAAAAGTGGGGTTAGGCAGAGTGTTGACTCTGATATTACTGAAAAATGGAGGAACTCCTTAACATTGTTGAGTTCTAAAAATAGAATCACCTCTTTGTTCCTCTAAGTCCCAACATTTATGAAGAAGAAGTAAAAACTTCTATGTTGTATGTGATACTCTGATGCTATGTATGCATGAGAGTGATTTTGTTCTTGATAAGAAGAAGCTTGGGGAGATTCTTGGTGATCTGATTGATGGTTGCTCAGATAGGTAAAGAACCAGGTCCCCATGGACCCTTGCAGAATAGAATGCAAAGTTGATTGGTGAGAATGAAAGATTGAGGAAACAGGTAGAGGAACTGAGAAAGCAGATGATCATTGATCAAAGGAGAGTGAATGAACAAATGGACAAGTTCATCAAGGCCTTAACCCCTTTACTTTTCTTCCTGCCCGGTGATCCTTGTCTTTCACTCCTTCCAAATTCCTATCTTCTTTTGATCCCTATATTTGATGACATTGGTACTTAGTTGTTTAAATTATCATATTATGTATTGTTGAAACTACTATGCTTTTATTATAACTATTCTACTACGGAAAATTACTCTATTTTGTGCAATGACATTCACTTGTTATTCTTGTTATTGTTTATATTGTGCTGCCCATGTGGCATGAGTTAATGTTGCTGAACTTCTTTTTATTTGTGCTTCTTCTGTTATTATTTTCAATGATGCCAAAAAGGGGAAGTTATATAAGTGTCAACAGGGGGAGGAATATAATCGAATTGATATGTTGTGTTGTGCATGAAAGATAGCTCTGCTTCGCAGGGGGAATATTGCTAATAACTTGTTGATTATAGGCCTAATCCGCAGGGGAACATGTGAGGAATCTGATTCTCAAGAGGAACATCAATTTTGGGGTTGTCATCATCAAAAAAGGGGAAATTTCTCTAAGTTTCGATGTTTCATGTTTTGATAATTTTCCAAACAGTCTTGAGGAACCAGTTGTAATCAGTTCCTTAGGTTTGGTTCTCAATGAAAATATGGCTGATTTGTAGGGGGAATAATGTGGAGATCTGGTTCTTAGGGGGTATATCAATTCTAAGTTTGTCATCATCAAAAAGGGGGAAACTGATGAGTTATGCGTCTTTTGTTTTGATGATTTGACAAACTTCACAAGAGAACCAGATAAGGAACCTGATATAATTAGTTCTTTTGCGTTCAGAGTAACTAGTCAAATGTCTGGTTCTCAATGAAATCAGATAAGGGAACAGTAGAGGAAACATATATGGATCAGTTCCCCTCGTCGATGTACAGTCAACTCTACAGTTGTAAAAGCTGCTGCACTATACCGCCTGGCAGCAACACATCAGCACAGCTGTAGCTTGCTAAAGCCAAACTAAAGGACACTTTATTGCATCATCCTTGATGACATCACACAGATGTATTATCAACATGAGGCAAGGGATTTCATCTCTCCAAGACTTAAAAATCAAAAGATAATACTCTCTCAAGTGCTAGCCACCACATCTCTCAAGAACAAAGCTACTGCAACCTCAAGGACCAGATCCAAAGATTGAAGATATCTTAAGTCCTTAGGTTTGTTGAGTCTTTGTTATTTTGTTCTTCATTTATAATTCCTACTTGGCTTAGTTAGAAGCACTGTGTAGGAAACCTTTGTGTTTGTGTCTTGGCTAGAGTTAGTCGAGTTGTAAAACCTTTGTGATAGAGTTATTACAAAGTGGCTTGTAATAGAGTTGTTACAAGTTAGTGAGGGATTAAGGGGTTAATTTCTAGGTTACAATAAGTTGTAATTTGAAGATTGCTCAGTAGTGAAGTTGAAATCCTACAAGGGTAGGTCGTGGTTTTTAATCTCGTGAGTTGGAAGTTTTCCATGTAAAACTCCATTATGTTCTTTCTTTACTGCCGATTTACTGTGGGAACAGATAAAGAACCTGGTTCCTTATACTGTTTGGTTTTACAGTCTGTTGCTTACAATGAGAACTGATAGAGAATCTGTTTCTCTATATAGTTTGGTAGACCCTTAAATTCTATCGGACCTAAACCTCATTTCATTTTTTCCCTCCTCTTGAGGTCCTCACATAAACTACTTATGTCAGGATTCTACTACAGTCAAATCTCTTTATAAGAATCTTATTTGTTCTGTATATTTTTTGGTTGTATTTGCGAAGCGCTGTTATAGAGAACATATATTATAACATAACATGAAAATTAATTCTAAAAAAATTTGGTCATTATAGTAAGTGTTATTATAGAGAAGTCGGACTGTATTTTAATTTTCTTTTATAATGATAGTGTAGAGGTTAGTTTTTATGCATCACGACTATTTTATTTAGTATCATCTGTTACCTCGTATCAAAGACAGTTCCAATAGATTACTTTTCCTTTTCTACGCACCATACAAAAGAAAGTAAGTGCGATCCTATAAGTTTTCTGTCTCGTTCGACATATTATCTATTATTGAGAACAAATTTTCAAATGTCCCTTCTTTCTCCAATAAGCAAATTTTTGTTAATGACAACATTAAAATTACGCAATTCGACTGAAATTCTTTTTATACCCCCATATGCTAAAACTAAAACTTAAAAGGATCAATATCACACGTTAAAAGCTAGATATTTTTCGAAAAAGTTACTCATTAAATTAACAAATAACTGGGTATGTTTTGCCGCCTTCACTCACCCTAGCTAGTTACTCATTAAATTAAGAACCTAACCCTACAAACCATTGACTAAATTAATTACATTTTCTTGTTAAGTGATTAGTGAAAATTGATATAGAAAATTTAAGAAACTAAAATCCATTAGTAGTTACTGACTTGATAGTACTGATTAACAAGGTCCATTTTTTTTTTTGGGTGCACGTTTATTCTGTTTATACCGAATCAATGTATAAACTTAGTAATTAAAAATTAAAGCAAGAAGACATATCACGTAACATGGTTAAGCGACAAATATGTATTAAAAAGATACTTGTCACACATTTATTAATTTGGAGTTAACACTAAAAAGAAATAAATTTCACCCCTTGAATCATCATAGAGTATATTTGTCACTGCTTCATCAAAAAAGTTTATATAAATAATATTTCTAAAAATAATATGATCTATACGTATAATTATAGACTGAAATCGCTTGAAAATAATATATCGTAAAGATCAGTTTGGGACATGAATTTAAGCCTTAGAGCCACATATACAGACAGGGACTTAGAGCCCGTTTAGATTGGCTTAAAAGTGGTTTTTCAGTTTTAAGCCAAAAAGTAATAAGTTGGGATTGCCCAGCTTATTGCTTTTAACTTATTTTAAATAGTTTTTAACTTATTTTAAGTATTTTTTAACTTTATCAAATACTGGAAAAGCAAAAATGATCTTGAAAGCTGATTTGACCAGCTTAAAAACCAATCCAAATACCCTCTTAAGCCGATATACAAACCGAGCTATGGCATAAGTTGACCCTGCTTGCATAAGAGCCAGAGGCGGACCTATGCTATACTGAGAGGAGTCACTGACACACGTGAAATTCAGTAAAAATTTCATGTATACATATATATGTTTTTAGAAAAGAGTGATATATTAGTAGTCTATACCCTATATACAAAGCAGATTTTAATTAAACCAAAAGTGCATCCTCAACTTTCAAATGCTGGGTTCGTATCAGAGCCTGCCCGTGTACGCCACTAGCTGTGAATTAGAGGGTGCTCGAAAAAACAAGTAATAGCTTTTTAGATTTCATGTGATCATATAAAATCTAGCAAAACTCTAATTAAAACATAAAGGCAAGAAAGAAAGAACACTTGAGTGATGGCATCCATATTGGATACTTTAAACAGGCGGCAGAGTGAGAAAATTCGTGACCTGTGGGCCGAAGGCGCACGTAAATTTTGACCCTTAAACAAAATAACAGTGAAAAAAAGGTGTACAAAAAAGTTAAGCGACCTTTTGCATCCCAAAGAAGCAACCAAGAAATTGTCCATATATCATGTGAGAAAATGTATTTAGCTCTTTACATAAAATTACTATACTATACTATCATTTCTCACGATGTAATAATTAGTTTGAGAGAAAAATCCAAATCTCTTAGTGATAAACGGTCCCAAAATAAATATAAGAAGAATTGCTTGACACATAGAGAGACACCACTTACGCTGTTGAAAGTTTAAAAGAAATAATTAAATTATTGAATTAATTGGATCATCTTTTCCACGTTTTTATGTTTTTATATGTACTAATGGTTGGCTTTTTGTCACTCCCTTTTCATTTAGCCTTATTCTCCTCAACATCACATTTGTATTATTATCTAGAGAGAGAGAGAAGGTGAAGGAAATAAGCCAAAATGGTAAGGGCTCCTTGCTGCGAGAGGATGGGATTAAAGAAAGGTCCATGGACTGCAGAAGAAGATCAAATTTTGATATCTTTCATTCAAAGATATGGACATGAAAATTGGAGGGCACTTCCTAGACAAGCTGGTGAGTTTGAACGAAATTAAGTTCATTTCCAACTTATTTACTTCTTGTGTTTCTTTTTTCTTTTGATTTATATTATTGATTTTCTTCTCGAAGGGGAGCCTTGGCATAACTGGTAGAGTTGTTGCCATGTGATTAGGAGGTCACGAGTTCGTCCCATGGAAACAGCCTCTTGCATAAATGCAGGCTAGGGCTGTGTACAATAAACCACGGTCCTTCCGTAAGCCCGCGCATAGCGAGAGCTTAGTGCACCAGGCTTCCATTTTTTTTCCTTCTTCTTCTCATATAGTTACATAGTTCAAAGAAGTAGTTATTTCTTGTTAGTTTTGATCTATAACTCTCTCTTTTTGTTTTTTGGTTTAAACTTTTGTTTAGGTTTATTAAGGTGTGGAAAAAGTTGCAGACTAAGGTGGATAAACTACTTAAGGCCAGACATTAAAAGAGGAAACTTTAGCGAGGAAGAAGAAGAAACCATCACTAAGCTACATCAAGTTCTTGGAAACAGGTACAAGATATGCTCACATTCAACAGCACACTTCTTTTGAACACTTTTACTTGGATCTTATTTCTTTATGTAAGTTTATTTGTAATTTCTTGGTCATGTGCATGAAACTAGATATACATAAGGGTACATAGCTACGGGGAACTGAATCTGCCTAGGAATTTTTACGTCCAACATTGATCGATATATCTTATTTTCAGGTTACTAGTTCCATTTTTTATGAACACATTATCAATTATTTTACTTTAAATGATCTGATAGTGTATAAAAATCCTAGAGTTAGCACAAGTGCTAATTATTTCATGTTATATATGTATGTTTTAACATGGATACGTCTAAACAAATGAAGGATTCGTATGACATAGGACACAAGCCCTTCCATCAAAAAAGGAAGGAAAAAAAAAAAAACATAGAGGTGTGGCATATTAATTTTGTTGCAGTAATTCTATTTATTTTATTGTTCTCGCGTTTGGTCTTATTCCTACTACCTGATGTTGCATTTGCATTGGTTTTGTTGTTACTGTTTTCTTCCATGAATTTTTCACTATTACATTTCCTCTCTTACTGCTTTGATTATGCGTGCCACGAGCCGAGGGTCTTTAAGAAACAGCCTAAGGCTGCGTAGACCCTAGCTATCCTCCGCAGACTATACTTGTGAAAATATATTGGGTATGTTATTATTGTTATACTAATTCTATTTGTTTCTTTTTTCTTCAGATGGTCTGCAATTGCATCAAGGCTGCCGGGACGAACAGATAATGAAATAAAGAATTTTTGGCACACTCATTTGAAGAAAAGAACAGAACACAATAATTATTTAGCATCTACTACAACTACAAAGAGAAGCTTTCATGATATGATGATACCTAAAAGGACAACAAATGTTTCACAAAAAATCAATCATCATATAATTGCTTCAAATTATCAAGCTTCCCAAAATATTGTTACCTATCATCCAACTTGTGATGTTGAAGATCTTCAAGAGAATAACTCATCGAGTTATTCTGAGAGTACTCAATCAAACAAGGAGGAAAGCATGCAATCCATTAATGGTGAAAATATAGGTACTGAATCTGCAAATGAACATGGGGACACTAGTTTCAGCAATGATATGGTTTTTTGGTATAATATCTTCATTAGTGCAGGAACCATATCTGAGAGTTAGAGGTGATCGAATCCAGGTTCTAGAGTCAATAAGTTCAGAATAAGTGAGATCTTATTATATGTATACGCTTTAAATTTTTTCCTATATGTATACAAAGTTCGAGACAAGAAACGTAACATCAATGACCACGGAAATCGCTCTAGATCCGCCTCTAACTTATGAGAGTTGAATTTCCACGACATGATGTGTGTTTACAGTTATCATCTATAATACTTGTGCTTATTGGAATTTTTTGAGTCCAATCATACAGTAAGAAGCCCCCTTATGAAGTTAACGAGTGAAATAAAACAGCATTCAAGGAGATTTACATATTAGGGCTTTCTTGATGATGTTACCTTGCTGCTGAATCGTGCTTTTTCAATAAATTGGAATAGATCTTGTCAATTTTTCTACTTGCTAGAAATTAATTGGTACTCTAGCAATGTCTTAAGTAAAGTTGAATTTTATGAGTTTTTCATTAAACTGAAAGTATTCATACTTGTGATGAGAATGGGTCACTGCTTTCGTGCAATATAAAATACTTTCTTTGTTGTGTATTGAGGTTTTGATGATTAACAAAGTGTGTTCCGAAGAAATGCTCTAATAACCAGATCCTCAACGTAGATGTTTAACTGCTCTAAAAACCAACTCCTCAAGGTTGATGATTGCATGTTCTTGCAAGAAAGTATCTTTATCTCAAGTTACCCAAATCCGAGTTTGTTGGAAGAGGACGGCTAAACATGATAAGGATTGTTGCCCAAGAAGACACGCTTGCATAAGCCAGAGGCAAGAGTCCCAAGATTTGCGGAGTCCTTGGAGCAGTAGGAGTCTTATCAAAGGAGAAGCTGATTACGCATAGGGCTCCTAAAAGATCTCGGAGTCCAGAGAATTTAAATAATATCTTTTGGACTGCTGAGATCATCCTTTTACATATCAACCGAAGAACCACATTTTCCATACTCAAGTTGAGTACTAGTGTTGTGTTCTTCTTGAGTCACTCTAGTAAATGTGTTTTAGGAAACATAGTTGTAATCAAAGTGTCATATACAATCAGGGGAGTTGGAGTGAGTGTTTGATTTTGCAAGTTACAGTAACTTGTAAATTAAATAGTTGAAGTAGGAGAACTGGAGAGTATTGAGTTACAGATTTGTAATCGATACATTTGCACTACAAGAAAAAGGCAAATTTTTGACCGTCAAATCGGTCGAAAATAGAGCTTTTCCGATGAGTCAAAAAATATATGGTCGCAAATAATTTGCAACCGAACCGGTTGGAATTTCCGACGGATTTGGTCGCAAATTAAAAAATAAGGACGCACTTGAATATAAGGGATTTGCGACTGAATTGGTCGGTAAATTTTCGATCGATTCGATTGCAAATTTAAATAATAAAACAAATACATAATTTAAATTTCAGATCGAATCGGTCGTAAAATTTGAGAATAAATTAATTTTAAAAATTAGAAATTCATAGTTTTTTGTGGTAAGATTTGCAACTGATAGGTCACAAATCATCCCTAAATCTGAAAAAAAAATTAACAGAATTCTGCTGTACTTTTAACTATACTACCTACCAAATAAAATAACCAACCAAACACCTAATTTATCATCCACCATTTATAACAAACCAAACACCAATATAACAAGCGAATTATCAAAATAGTAATACACACTCATAATTTAAACATATCTCTATCTTAAGTCTAAAACATAACATCCACGTTCAAATAGCTGCTCCTATTGATCAGATTCAGTCTCCTCGTTATGCTCAGATTCCTCTATTGCTGGTTGATTGCCCTTCTTGCTTTTCTTTTTTAATAATTTCATGATTAAAGCTTGAGTTGTGTTCCATTCTTTACCGCAAGAAGCCATCTGAGTAATGAATATAAAATATTTACATAAAAAAATAATTTAACATAACAAATATAAACACAAAATATACATAATAAATATAATAATATAAACATAAAAAATCAAGATGTTATTAACAATATAAGGTAATTCTATTACATATTACAATAATTTAAGGAATAACATATAAATACTCAACAAGTCATAAAATACACAAATAGCTTAATCCTTATGACTTGTTTTGTTTTTATTTTCTTCATAATATAATTATTCATCGCTTCTTTCATTTTCATCATATAATTCTTCATTGCTTGTTTTATTTTCATTATATAACGTTCACACCTGACTTTAATTAATATACTATATTAATTAATATAGCATATTTGTCAAATTTACAAAATTTCTTTTAATGTAGCAATTATTAAGTTTTAAATTTAATATCAATCCATTAATAAATTAGGAAGCAACAATAAGCTTAACTTCTTAAACTTAAAACTAAGGCTTTAAACTATAAATACTTAATACAATTCCAAACTAATAAACTAAAAGTAAATATTATTCCAATAATAAACTAAGAAGCAACAATAAACTTAACTTCATAAATTTTAAACTGAAGCTTTAAACTATAATTAAGTACTACAATTCCAATCACAAACTAAGAATTTAAAGAATTAATCCCAAATCTCAACCAACTAATTCAGTCGGTTAAATTCTTCGACAACAATCTCAAACCTAGATTCAATCAAATTCTTCGACAACAATCTAAAACCTAGATTCAACTACTAAATTAATATGAAAAATATAACAAAAGCATAATAAGAATAACAATTAGTTGCACCAAACAAATAAAAAAGTGCACACTAATTTACTCTCTTCTTTTTTCGTAAATCATCTCAAACTTGCTCCACTATTGATTCGTTGTGGCTTTTTGAGTTTTGATAACAAAGAGAACTGTGAAAAAAAGAAAATTGCAAACACTAATTTCAGCAAACAATCTGTTTTTCTCTATGAGGCTTGGCAAAAAATAGAAATAAAGAAGAAAAAAATTAAGGTAGGGGGAAAAACTAACCGCAAGAGGGGGGAGAGAGAGAGGTGTCGCCGGAGAAAAAGGGCTGTCGTCGGAGCACCGTGCTACCTGGGGGAAGGGGTTTCCAGCGAGGAGAGAAATAAAAGAGAGAAGGAAGAAAGAGATAAAGAAAAAGAAAGGGGTAAAGTCAAGATAAGAAAGGATAAAGGATGGTGTTTTGCTTCTCTAGAGAAGATGAGAGGCTAAAAATGAAAGTGTTCGCAACAGGGGGGTTTTAAAAATTATTTCCGACTGAATCGGTCGGAAATTTGAAAAAATAAAAAAAATTCGATTGATTTGGTCGCAAATGAGGTCAATGAAGTCAGACTTAGTTTTAATAAATTTTTGCGACCGAATCGGTTTCAACTTTAAATTTTTTTTAATTATTTTTATTTTTTCGATCGAATCGGTCGCAAATGAGGCCAACAAAGTACGAGTGCGTTTTACTAATTTTTGCGACTAAATCGGTTGTATTTTTTTTGTTTTTTTATTTTATTTTTAATTTTTCCGACCTAATCGGTCGCAAATACCTTCGTGGTATTTTCCACCAAATCGTGTGACGGATATAGACGGAATATCTGCCATAAACATTAATAAAAATTGGAAAATATATTTTTAGGCCATTTTCGACCGATTCCGTCGGAAATTTCCAACTACTTTTTCTGGCCGGAATATTTCGGTTGGAACTAGGCCTTTTTAAGTAGTGTTGGATCATTGTTCTAGTGAAGTTGTAGGTAAAATCCTACGTGGTAGGTCGTTATTTTTGCACCTTTTGAGTCGGGTGATTTTTCACGTAAATATCTCTTCTATATTTAATTCTCTGCACTTTATTATTTCAGTTGTTTAACGAAGAAGCATACATAAGAACCAAGTTCTTATACATATGTCTAAATAGTGATCCAAACTAACAATTATTATCGGAGGTAGTTCTCTTACACACACGGTTAACACCTAGAGAGATCTTTGAAGCAAAATAAATGCTCCGCTTGGAATTAACGAAGGACAGTCAACTACCAGACCATCCCCGTTTAATGAAAAATATTACATTTGGTGGAAAGAAAGAATGCAACATTTTCTGACGGCTTAGGATTATGAACTATGGATCATAGTGAACCAAGATCCACTAACTCATACTAAACAAAAAGGGTAAAATGAAACTGTTCCCAAAGACCCCTATGAATTTGTAGTAGCAAACTTCAGAATGATGGAGAAGAATGCAAAGGCTAAGGAAATCCTTATTTGCGGTCTTGGTCCTGATGAGTACAACAGGATATCAACTTGGTCTAATGCAAAGGAGATCTGGTATGCACTTCAAACTGCTCACGAAGGAACAAACCAAGTGAAAAGAGCAAGGATCGAATTGCTTATTAGGAACTATGAGCTCTTCTCCATGAAGGAGTCTGAGCCCATCCATGAGATGATGACTAGGTTTACTATAATAACAAATGAACTGAAATCACTTGGAAAGGTGTTTACTTCAGAAGAGGTTGTTAGCAAAGTTCTAAGGATTCTTCCAGCTCCATGAGAATCAAAAGTCACAGCTATTCAAGAAGCAAATGAGCTGGATAAGATCTCACTTGATGAGTTGGTTAGAAACTTAAAGACCCATGAGATGAGAAAGATAGAATTGCGCAAGGAAGAACCAAGAACGGATAAGGCGTTGGTTCTTAAGGCATATGAAGAAGATGAATGTGACAGTGATGATCTAGACCTAGCAATATTTGCTAAGTTCAAGAAGTTCATAAGGAATTCAAAAAATACATCTAAGAGAGAGAACAATGGTAAGCCTAAGCAAATCGAAATAACCACTTATGATGGGTGCTAAAAGTGTAACAAGATAGACCACATGGTCAAAGACTACCCAATGTCGGAAATTGAGTGGAAGAAAGAATGATCTAAAAAAGAGAAACGGAAAAAACTGAGAGAGAAGGGTCCAAACAAAGGGAAAATCATAGGCAAATGATTCACTAAAGTAATGAAACAGGATTTTCTAGCAATATATGAGTATAATAGAAGTGATAAAGAGGAAGAGAAAGAGGAAGAGGCCATAAGTCTCTATGCTATAATTGATGCACATCAGACTGTCACGACCCTAAACCCGGACCCGATCATGATGGCGCCGCTCATGAAGACAAGGCCAACCGACACTTTTCCATCTCAGTTTTAAGCAATTAAATAATAAGAATTAAGTCTAAAACATAATAAATAACCCAAAGGTAAGCAGTGAACATTACAGTTGCAGAATAAAATCCAACACAGCCCAATACCGGTTGTCACCAGTCATAAGCATCTATCAATATACTACAAGTCTGAAGTGTCTACAAAGCTATTAC